CTCTCGGACTCGGACCACGATCAAGTGCCCGTGGAAAGGCAAACGATCTTGTGTGCTCTGTGCAGGCTACAGGGATGAGATCACCAACTCGGTCTATCGTTTGGCTAGCGCCTCGCTCACAGAGGTGCTCCTGGAGCTTCCAGACGAGGTGGGTGCTGCAATGGCCTTGATGGACCAGAAAGCCCGTGACAAATGGGCTTCCATTGTCAAGGGAAAACTGGACTATCTAGGTCATGTTCCTCATCTGCTTGCGGCCGGGTTTGCCCATCATGCAAGACCAGACCTGTATTCTTTGCAACAATCCAAAGATGCTGTTCGAGAGTGTTTCACTCAGTACGAGTCTCTCCGGGGGCAGGGTCGAACCACGGAACTGCTTGAGAGTTTGTTTCACAGAAAAGGAGATGCAGGATTGGCTGAGCAGTTATGGAGCTTTTGCGAAAGCCCCGCGGACAAGGTGCTGGAGGACTTTCCCCTGGCATTTGCTGAAATCCAAGATCGCTCGTTCTGCCCCATGGCGGAACGAAGCACAGAGCGACAGCACGTGCTGATCAAAATAGCTTGCCGGAGGACACTTCGACATGCTGGGCCAGCAATGACATGTGCACGGGCCCGCAGGAGCCAGCTGCAGAGTATGATCGACACTCCTAAGGAGTGTAGTTTCTTGGAAGCCAACTGGGGTTCCAAAGGGCTGGACCTGGAACTGCTTTCGCACATCATGCCCAAGGCCGAATGCATGACCAAGACCCGCAGCTACCGAGTTGCTCGCATCTACGGCTATCACGAAGAAGACCATTTTCTCGACCACCAGGCTGATGAAGAAGCAGCTGCGAAAGCCTTGCAGGATAGAACACAGCTGGCACTCCAGGATGCGGCTGAGGACGATGCATCAGGAGTCAAGACTTTGGAGAAAAAACAGTGGATGATAGTAGACTACCTGAAGTCCCAATTGCAGAGTGGCATCTTGTTCAGCTTGCCTGAAGGCCTTTTCCGGGCCATGTTGGCAGGGCCCCCCTCAGAGGACTCTGAGGCTGTGCATCCAGAGATATGTTTGGATTTGGAAAGTTTTGCTGAGGCTTTGCTGCCCGAGGACAATCCAGACGTATCTGCCGAGGACTTGATCTACGGCTATGTGGTGGATGCGAGGCCTGAGAGAAGAACACAGAACAAGGCCCTGGCTCAAGAAAGCCACAAGGGTTTTGTGCATGTGCTCCGCTTCACTGCTGTTGATCTGCAACAGCCGGCCGTGCCTCATGTGTTGTACAGCAACACAATGCAACACACGTTGGATTTCGCAAAGGTAGCAACTCCGGCCATGCTGAAGTTGTTGTCCTCGGAACTGCGTGTTTGGACGGCAAAGGCAACTTCGGTTAAAGTGCAGATCATGCCCCAGGCAGGGTCTTCAGATGCCCTTGTGCACGACGGCCCTTCTGCGGCGCTCAGATTGCCTGCCTTCGTCACAGACGATGACATGCTGGATGATCTGGCACGTGAGGATGGAGTTGTGTCGCTTCAGCATGCAGCAGCAGGGCCGCAAGCCGAAGCTGGCATTCTCCCAGACAACCAGCAATCCTTGTTGCAGGGTCTTCTTGAAAGGCGTGCACTGGGTGAAAACTTTGTTGATGTCATTCAGCTTCCGCATTACAATGCGGATGCATGCAGGAGCCTTGTAGACAAGGGACTTGTCCAGGCTCGCGTGGACGATTTTGGAGCAGTCACTGTAGCATTGAGCGAGGCCACCAAGGTCACCAGTCGCTTGGCTCTCCGAGACCCAACACCGCTTTGCCAAGAAGAGACGGTCATGAACAATGGCCCCGGCAGGAATAAACTTGCGTGGTTGAAGATGCTGTTGCAGGATGGATGGAAAGCTGCTGCGACCGGTGATTGGCACAACCGAGGGCAGGCCCTGAACTTGCCCTCAGGTCTCTTGGACAGGCCAGAAATGCACTTGAAAGCCTTGTGTTTTCATGTCAGCCTGTGGGAAAAGGGCTTGCTCAAGATCTCCCACTCAGGCAGTGTTGCCTATTATGAGATGCTTCTGAAAGAAACTACTCTCTCTGCTGTGAATGACTTCAGTTTAAAGCAATGCAAGGAGTTTGCTTTCGAGAGAAAGCGGAAAAGGCCAGCACACGGACAGAGTGCTGCGAGACCCGAGCAGGGCATCTTGCGGCTTTCTTTGGACCTGCCCAGTCTGCCTGCCGTTCCGTGCCGTGTTCCGGGAATGGCGGACTTGACAGTCCACTTTGATAACTGGAGTCATTCATCCGGTCATAGACGAGGATTCATACAATGCACACGGCATGCGAAGTGCCGGCGATACAGCTTCCTCAAGAGCCATTGTGACCAGGCCACTTGTGTGGCCTGGCTTCTGGTTTGGTGCCAAGAGGGACACAGATTCGAGGACACCCGCCAGCATGTTGCATTCAACCCAGACCCCGCTTCTGTGTCCCGAATGAAAGAGAGGCAGCGGCTGGGTGCGTGAACCAATTCGCATGATGAAGGAAATTTTTCTACTTTGTGCAGATCGTTGCAGCATGTTGCAGCAGCTTGTCGTTATATGTTGCACAAAAAGTTGATGGACAGTTGCATGCCCGTAATGTGATGTTCGATTCTGATTTCTGAGCACAGCAGATGAACGATCGATTTCAGTTTTCATGTCTTGCCTGCACAGCACATCAGCATGTCAGTGAGAGTTGTTTGGCAGAGCAGTGCTTGATGGTTCTGTTGCCGCTGTTGCCGTTTCCGCAGCTTTTTTGGAGCCTCCATGCTGCAGCTGTTCCTGCGTGGAGGCGGGGCCGCTGTGGGACCTTTACTGTAAAGAGGGTTAGGGCGGGAGTTTTGGATGTTTTTTCCAGGGTAGAGAAAGCAGCTCGTGCAGCCAGACGTGGCGGCGAGCAAGCAAGTTCAAGCAGGGCTCGTGCAGCCAACGTGGCGGCGAGCAAGAAGAAAGGCTCGTGCAGCCCCGACGGGGCGGCGAGCAAGAAGAAAGGCTCGTGCAGCCCCGACGGGGCGGCGAGCAAGAAGAAAGGCTCGTGCAGCCCCGACGGGGCGGCGAGCAAGAAGAAAGGCTCGTGCAGCCCGACGTGGCGGCGAGCAAGAAGAGAGGCTCGTGCAGCCCAACGTGGCGGCGAGCAAGAAATACTCATGCAGTCGGTGCCTTGGTGCTGTCGGAGGGCCGGAGTCTTTCTCGACTTGCAGGCCCCGACGGTACTTAAGGCATGCAGGCGGTGAGTCCAGGAAAGGGCTGAGGGATGAGGGTGAGGGATGGGGTGTTGGGGTATGTTAGGATTGACAGTTTTGTTTTTGAGTGCCTTGCCGCCAGGCCGATTGAAGCCGATGCCGGAGCCGAAGCAGGGCCCCAAGCCGCGAGAAGAGAGCTCGGATTCAGAAAAGGACAAGCCTGCGGGCAAGTCCAATTCCTCGGACAAGTCCGAGGAGAAATCCGAGGAAAAGTCCGAGGACAAGTCCGAGGAGAAATCCGAGGAAAAGTCCGAGGAAAAGTCCGGGAGCGGCAGCGAGGAGAAGAGCGATGGCTCGGCAGACTATGGGAAATCCAAGAGCAAGTCGCACTCCCGGGGCCGGAGCCGCAGCCGACGGGCAAAGAAAGAGAAGAAAGATAAAAAAGAGAAAGATAAAAAGGAGAAGAGGAAGACTTCCCCTTTTGATGCCGCCCTGCTGAAGCAGGGCGGCCATGATGAGGGCACCGGCCTCACCGGCACCGGGGCCGGGGATGATGACGAAGAGGAGAAGAAGACATGGGGGCCCTATGGGGCGGTCCAGGCTTTCAAGATCGCCGAGTTGGAGACGGTGAAGCCGGCAGGATATACGAAGCAAGGACAATGGGTGGAGGAGAAGGTGCGGTGCCCAATATGTTGGGCAATCAAGCCAAGAAGCACGCTGTTCATGCACATAACATCGAACAGCGGCTGCATGTCATGGCAGCAAAAGCTGCGGGGATTGGAACCCCCGCCAGCAAAGTTCCCTTGCCGCTTCTGCGGCAAGGCGTTCTTTAAGGCGCCAGACCGCGAGCAGCACGAGTACGGCTGCGGCGCCAAAAAGCCGGCAGAGCCCAGTGAGCCTCCGCAGGAGCCAAAGGAGCGGAAAAACAAGAAGAAAGAGAAGAAGAAGGATCACCGGGACAAGAATGATGAAAAGGAAAGGGCACGGCCATGCTCCTGGTCCGAGGTGTCGAGGCGAGGCGGGCTATCGAGGCGAAGCGTCCGAAGCGAGGCCTCCAGGCCAAGCAATGCCTCGGTAGCCTCGCCGCCGAGATCGAGGGGAAGCTCGCGCGAGCGACGGAGCCGGGGCGCTGTGGTGATAGTGCCCCGCCGTGGCCGGGATGTCATCGATGTCCCGTCTGTCTCCGTGCAGAGGCAGCGGTTGGACTCCCGCAGCCGAGGCCGGGGCCGCAGCAGATCCAAGCACTCCCGGCGCCGCCAGGAGAGTCGCCAGAGACAGAGTCGGCAGGGCCAGAGCCACCAGAGCGAGGGGGGCGAATCCTCAGATCAGAGGGTGGTGGCGTTCAACCGACTTCTGTCTTTGGGCGAGAGGATCCTCTGAAGGGCCCCTGAAGGGCAAGCGGCAAGCACAGGGTGTGCCTGCAGCCAGGTTTTAGATGTTGTATGTATGTGTTGTGTGCACACAGATATCCATACCTAATATGTTAGGAAATAAGTAGGGTGTTTTTCCGAGCTGCAGGGCACCGATGCTGTTAGGCCCTTCGTTTCACACAGAATGGGCAGGCACAGGGAGAACTATAGTATCTAAGGGGTTACAATATGTCACACTAGGTTTTATAGCACGATAGGTCTCAGAAGCAGTGTGTAGATGTGCCAAGCCGACACTACAGTTGCAAACTTCACCGTGCCGGACCGCACGATGCAAAAAACAGGGCATAGCAGTGCAAACCGTTGTGTATCACAGTCGAAAGCAGGGCTTCAAGGATTTTTTGTGGTATCGCGAGGGTTTGGGGTGGAGGTTCGACAACCCACTGGATTCCAGGCTTAAGTAGGGGAGGGGTTGTGTCCCTCCCATGTCCCTCCCGTGTCCCTCCGGTGTCCCTCCCGACCCGCCGGGTCGGACCGGCCGCACCCCCGGTTTCCTGTGGCAGTCCAGGGGCCTCCCCGGCCGTCCCGCCACCGTCCCGCCACCGTCCCGCCACCGTCCCGCCCCTGTCCCGCCCCTGTCCCGCCACTGTCCCGCCACTGTCCCGCCACTGTCCCGCCACTGTCCCGCCACTGTCCCGCCACTGTCCCGCCACTGTCCCGCCACTGTCCCGCCACTGTCCCGCCGGTGTCCCGCCTCTGTCCCGCCACCGTCCCGCCGCCGTCCCGCCACCGTCCCGCCACCGTCCCGCCACTGTCCCGCCACTGTCCCGCCACTGTCCCGCCACTGTCCCGCCACTGTCCCGCCACTGTCCCGCCACTGTCCCGCCACCGTCCCGCCACCGTCCCGTCCCTGTCCCGCCCCTGTCCCGCCGCTGTCCCGCCACTGTCCCGCCACTGTCCCGCCACTGTCCCGCCACTGTCCCGCCGGTGTCCCGCCGGTGTCCCGCCACTGCCCGCCACCCCGGCACTGTTCCGCCGGTGTCCTGCCACTGTCCCGCGACTGTCCCGCCACTGTCCCGCCACTGTCCTGCCTTTTCAAGACTGTTTCCAGGTTCTTTTGCTGCTTGTTTGGCTCGCGAGGGTTGAACCAGTATCTAAAGTCTTCACACACAACACACACAGTTGTCACACATCGCATGCTGTTTGCTCTATGCTTGCAAATGCGAAGCTGCGAAGCTTCTGTATGCACGGAACAACACAACTTTTGAACTCCGAGTCTTCAGGCACGAATCATGCATAGTCATGCAGTGAGAGAGTCATGCAGCTGCTCTTAGCGGTCTGTTGCACACCATCAGGCATGCAAGAGAAAAAAGAAACACACGTCAGCTCACCTTTCATTGCTTCCACCATTTCCACCACCAGATTTGCTCCCCGCCATCTTGAATGCTGAGTTTCCAGCACCACCGCCACCTGGCCTGATGGCTAGGTGGCGGTGTGCGGGATCTTTCGTGCCGGCCGGCCTCACCACTTGCTGTTCCTTTGACGGAGGCAACCGTGCGGGTCTCCTCCTCTCTTTCGACCCTTTGAACCGCACGGCTACTCTGTGGCGAAGCACCCCGCTTCCTTTTGTCTGACATGCTGACTGCTAGCAGAAGGCTGATGCTTGAACACACATTCTGCGGATCAGTTTCAACCTTTGTGTTTGCAGCTTGGCAAGAAGGTGCATTCCCGTCAAGATTTGTCTCACAGTGGCTTGTTAGCTAACTAGTTAGAAAGGGAACCGTCCCCTTTGGAAAGAAGGACCGGTGGGCACCGGCCTGCCGGCCAATGGCCGACGATCATCTGGACACAGAGATCGCCGGCTACAGGGCCGGACGAGTGCTGCGGGTTCTTGGCCGCCCTTTGAGGGTGACTGAGCCTTGTGTTGGACTGGGAGGGCTACGACGGTTGTGTGAGCTGTCAGGAAGCCAGTACCTGTCCACACAGGGCTTTGACACGGAAGCTTCCTTGCTTCCCTACTACAATAACTTGCAGAGGTTTTGTGGTGCTAGCGGTGTCCAAGCCTTGAGATTGGGCACTGACGGCGATGTGGAGAAAGTTAATCCGGAGAGCTTGTTGCCCGTGGAAGCCATTGTGGCTGGCCCCCCGTGCCAGCCATGGGCAGGAACCGGACAGCAGCAGGGCACAGCTGATGCAAGAGCTTCGGTCATGGATGTCTGCATCGGCTGGATCATAGCTCAGGCTTGGCAGGGTCAGCTGCTAGCCTTCGCTGTGGAAAACAGCCCCCGGCTGCGTGGAACTCCATATCTGCGGGAGCTGCTGCAGCGACTGCGGGCGTGCATCCCCATGTTTGCTGTCTCCGTGGAAGTGCATGACCTGTGTCAGCTTTGCCCGCAGCACCGGGAGCGTTTGTGGATCCGGGGCTTGAGGAGGGATTGCCTCCGAGGCTTGCCTGGCCTGCCGCCGCCTTTGAGCATGAAAGACCTCGGTGGCAAGGTGAAGGTGCCTTTGGAGACCGTGTTGGTCGAAAAACATGGTCATGGAAAGGTGCTTAAACCGACGGACCCAGGATCACTCTGCCCAAACATGCAGTGCAACTTGGCGGCCTATTTGACTCGTGTGCAGGGAGACATAGAAAATGGGAAAGCAGGCGAGATAGCCGTGATCGAGCTGGACCGCAATCCTTTGAAGGATTTCGGCGGCGGTATAGTCTACGACGGCACCCCGCCTCTGCGAACAAAAGGGCCGAAGCTGTGGCTGCTTCGGACACAAGATGTCAAGGAGAAGCGCCCTTGGCAAGAGCACAGCTTGCATAGGTACATGCTACAGGAGGAAAAAGCTATGCTCCAGGGGCACGACCCCCGAACCCCGTGGCTCTTCAGCAGCCAGACCCAAGCAGAGAAAGCAATCGGTAATGCTTACCACCCTTTGCATTTGGGCATCATGCTGTGCCCTTTGCTGGAGATTGCTTTCCTGCAGGGCAAGTTGAAGTCCGAGCCGCAGACCATTACTCAGGAAGAGTTGTGGCAGCTAACCCCTCCCCCAGAGGCAGCTCTGGCAGCTCAGCTGTCAGAAGGCGATGAAATGGACGAGGATGAACAAGCCGCAGTTCACCCGGAGCCAACGATGCCACTGCCCATAAAGGTGAAGGTTGAGCCTGGGTGCAAGACTTGGGCAGTTCACCCGGAGCCAACGATGCCACTGCCCATAAAGGTGAAGGTTGAGCCTGAGTGCAAGACTTGGGCAGTTCACCCGGAGCCAACGATGCCACTGCCCATAAAGGTGGAGACTTGGGCTTCCGGCAGACTCAAAATGGAAAGGTCCAAGCGGGACTCTGTGGTGAATTTGGCTTCACCGCAGAGGCGGGTCCGGAGAAAGAGAGGCGACTGCTAGGTTGGCTAACAGATTAATTCGACAATTAGCAACCAAGCCGGTTGCTGCAAATTACGTGCAACCGTGCTGCTGGATGTGAATTAGACAGAAACTGAACGGCGAAAACAAATAGGTTTCATTGGAGCAGACCGAGGCACGACAGAGCAAGCCAATCCATTAATGTGTGATTCCCATAGCACACCCACATATTCATGCTAGGGGTAGGGTTTCAGCTCAGCAGAGCGAGAGTTCGCTGTAGGAGCCTTTGGTGTTGCTTTTGAAACCATGGATGAAAGAATCCTCTGAGCTTTTCCCGCAGCCGTGTTGGGCCGCTCTGCCCAGGGTGTTAACTGGTGGGTGTACAGTGTACAAGAGACTGCTGTTCTGTAGTGAACATGGCAGCTGCGGGATCGGCTGGGGAACCTGCGGCGGCGAGCGGAGAGACTGCACTGGGGGCACTGTGCTGCCAAAAGTGTGGCCAGTCGACGACCATGTCGCTGTCATCAGCGACTGGTCGAAATCCATTGCTCCGAGCCTGTAATGGCTGTTTGGCAACGGATCGCTGGATCAGCCGCATCACAACGAAACCCAAGAACCGCGAAGAAACTGAAGACGAAAAGCAAAGGAGGGCGAACGGTATGAAGATAAAAGAGGACCTCAAGAAGAAGTCGGCTGAAGAGAAGAAAGCCTTCTACCTCGAACAGAAAGTCAACCGCCAAGCGGAGGACCAGAAGAAGAAAAGGACGTTCTCGTCCGCGGTGGGATCCGTGGAGGAGTCGAGGGAGGCCGCGGCGCTGAGAGACGATGTCACGAATTACATACCCTTTAAGAAATGGGCGGCTCAGGAAATGGCACTCCGAATCTATTCGAGTCTCGGTGAGGCGAAGGTTGCCTGGGAGAAGTTGCTTCAGGATCCGAGCACAGTGAGCATAATGGAACACGGTGAGGCGCTCGTGTTGGATTATTCGGGCATCCAAGTCCGTGGACGACAGTCCCACAGCCTCAAGTCAGCCATGCGGCAGAGGATGGACATCTCCGAGCAGAAGGATTTGGATGAGTACATGGAGGAGTCCGACTCCCGCATCAAAAGGGGCCGGTCGAGGCTGGCTGTGGAGATGACCGCGAACTCGGAAAAGACCGGCGACGAGCCCATGTCCGTCATCCCACTGCTGACGGTTTCAAAGGATTTGAGCCAGCTGCGGGAACTGGAGGAGGCCCGAGATGCGGATCTGCAGATGCAGGCAATTGCCATAGAGGAAAGCCAGAGGCAGGAAAAGGAGGAGAGAAAGCGGAAGGCCGAGGCCGTCGAGAAGAGCCTGCCTCTGGAGAAGTTGGCCCTGCAGGCCTCCCGGAAGAAGGCCATCCAAACGATGGGAGATGTTGTCCTCCGGAACCAGGCGACAATCACAGCACTCTCCGCTGACAGCCACAAGCTTTGTGAGTTTGAGAACCAGGACCTGAAGGACGAACTGAAAGAGAAGATGAGCCACGTCGACCGGGCTATTGCGGTTCTGGGTGAGGAGATCGCCAAGTATGACTCTGAGTGGGAGAAGAAGGAAGTGGAGGCCACAACCACGGCGGATGAGATGGCCGAGCTCCGAGGGGAGATCGCAGTGGTCCTCAAGGGGTTCCACTCCAACAACGACTCATGCAAGAACGTGAAGAACAAGATCCAAGACGTGCGAATTTGGATGGCGAAGACGAAGAAATCGATCAACGAGCGAGAGAAAGCAGCTGCCAAAACAGCCGCTGGAAAGAAGATGGGCAAGCTTGCAGCAAGCATGCCCCTGGAAGCCTTGGCCGAGAAATTGGCGAAGGAGCTGACGGGTGAAAGCTCCTTTGGCAGCGTGGACTACAGCTTGACCCCCAAGCAGCTGCTGGAGAAGCTGGCCCCGGTCGCCTTCGATCTTGCTCGGGGGAAGAGCCTCTGCGAGACAGTGGCCACCCTCGACTACTACCGACTTCAGCAGTCGTGGGTGCTTGAGAAGATGAAGGCGAGTGGGTCGAACTCCTGCTGTGCGGTGATATCCAAGAAAGCAGTCGCCAAAAGGCTGAAGGACCAGCTGATCCGGCAGTACCCTGAAATTGGCGACTCCGAGGGGGATGCGATGGCAGGATTCCCGACCGAGATGCAGGACACCTTCAGCTTGCAGTTCGGCCAGCGTTTGGGGGGCACAGCCTCGTTGTGGACCCGGACAGACATGAACTGCCCGATGCTCATGGTTTGCCTGGAGGGCAAGCTCACAGTGGGCGGGGTGCCATCGAAGCACCTGCAGGCCGCGACCTTGGCAGAGCTGCCCAAGAAGCTCGAGAAGATGAATGCCAAGGATTTGGCCCAGCTTGTGAAGACCAAGGGCTGGATGGTTCAGGTGCAGGCTCAAGGCAGCATCGTCATTCCGCCAGACACGTGCTGGTTCGAGGTTTCCTCGGGGGAGACTGTGCACAGCCTCAGGATGCTGATGGCTCGCGAGTCGCTGGCTGGGCCAATGAAAGCTTTCTTGGAGAAGATGCAGTCGGAGGGCAGTCTCCAGGATGGCGATTCTTACTCCAAGATGCTGGCATGGCTCCGAGGGAACAATGCTGCGGCATAGGCCAGCAAAACAAAGGCCGGGGCATCGATGCTGGATGACCCGAGCATCGCCCCAGCAGTGGCACCGATGCTGGATGACCGGAGCATCGCCACAGCAGTCCCACCGATGCTGGATGCACAGTGCACAGCAGAGGCGGCGATGCTGGATCGTGAGCATCGCCGCAGCAGTCCCACTGATGCTGGATGCACAGTGCACAGGGGGGGGCATTTTCAGAGTGAGTGCTAGGCGCTAGCTTACCAGGGTCCAGTAGTCGCACATGATGTCCATCAGAGAGATGCAAGGTAATAAGAGTGCATTTTGACCTGGGCCCGTGTTTTCCTCCATGATGCTAGCCTGACTTGAGGGGTGACCCGACCGCGAGAAAGTGATTGCTTGTGTGTGCATGTATGGATGTGTTCGTAGCTCGGCTAGTCTAGTTTGTTGCGGCACGAGGGTCCATGGATGCAAAATGTGGCTCAGAGCAGCACTCCAGCGAGGTCAGGGTACCGAGGAGAGCACAACGGGGATCCACAATAGCATGTTGCGCAGCATGGCATCCGACGAGCAACCTTCGGAATCCCCGATCTTCCCATCGCAGATTGATGTCTCCGATGGGGAGGAAGCCCTTGGCGAGACTCGTGAGAAAGTTCTTCCGCTTGCTTCGCGAGGTGATGTGCTGAAGAGGAGCAAAAAGTTTTTCGAGGGAGACAAAGACCTTGAGTTATTCTGTCTCGAGCAAGAGCTCGAGACAGTTAAAGAGGAGAATGTCAAGCTCAAGCTCACGACGAAATCGCAGCAGGACTCCATCGCCGTCTTGAGCCAAAAGATCCATCAGCTGGAGTCGTCCAAAAGCCAGGGCAGCCAGGGCGAACGGTGGTTTGGCGAGAATGAACAGTTCACCTATGTAACCAAGCGAGGAATCCAAACCTTGTTTGGCGGCTCGTCGCCGTCTCAGCCGTCGCCAAAAAAAAATCGCCAGCTCTCACCCTGACAAGGTGTGGAGGGCATTGCAAACCAGAAGAGTTTGCAGTGCCAAAGTTTTGACGGGAGCAAAGGGCCACCAGTAGGTTTGTGTGCCGTAGTCCTAGTTTTGACTCGTGTTGACAGGCGGTTGAAAAAAACAGGGAGTCCGAGTGCCGTGTGAGTGAGAGGGGCCACCCAAAAACCCTAAACACCTAACCTTCAAACCTAAACCCTACCTTAAACCCTAAACCCCAAAACCCTCAACCCTTAAACCTTAACCCTAAAACCCCAAACCCTAAAGCAGAGGAAAGTTTTGTGTTTGCACCGGGTAGGGACGCAGTTCTGACACGACATTTGTGTGCGAGCTGCAAAACAAACTGTTCGCGAATACTTGAAGCATTAGTTTCATGGCTTTGTGGGCAACATCACATAAAAGTGGCTGTAAGCTGAACATACCACCGTGTCCATCCGAATTATCGTGTAGGTGCCGCTGTTGGCACTATTTCGTAAGAATATCACTATGACGTCTGTTGCCACTTTTGGAGCCCGGGCCATTCTTATGGCGGTAATGCATCGTTTCTATTTCTGAAATAAACACGACCCAAGTTCCATCAATTTGGTACATCTGCACCGAAAGACACCTGCACTGGCAGTGAAAATGAGGTTCTGGGCTATAACTATCATTCGAGTCTCAAGTGAAAGTGATCGCCTCCTATTGACCGGCCCGCCGCTGCTTCTGTTGATATGTAAACACAAGCCCGGAAATAGAGAGTTTTGGAACATTTGCAATTATGGGATGAACTCATATTGTTGTTGTTGGCCTCCAAACCCAGAACCTCGTGCCGGAAATTGTGTTTACCCCAAATATGGCCATATTTGCCCGAACCTCATAGCTTTTTGGGGTAGGGGTTTGGGTAGGTGCGCATGACCCGGGCCCCAGAGCAAACACCATACTCCCCATCCTCATCGGATTCGGAGCGCGATGCATGCCTGGAGTTTTCAGCCCACACAAGACGTCGTTGCGCGACCACTGCAAACAGTCGTCGTACACCTTCCTCCTTAGTAAGCATGCACAAAGAAACTTCGAGCAACACGCAAAACAAACCATACAGGCAATAGTCGTGAATCGCTGCAAAGTAACCCTTGGGGTTTGGCCTCTCCGCTCAGCGTCCCGTGCTCGCTTTAAGGAGAACGAGACCAAAGAGCGAAGACTCCATGCATCAATCCAGGCCTGCTTCCGATCATCCGGGACGAAGTTCATCTTGCCGTACAGCTTCTTGATCTGCAGGGCTTGGAGGGCTGGGCTAAAGACTTTAAGTAAAGCACGAGGTTTCAGTAGCCGAGCCTCCGGTTCCAGTTGTTTGATGGATACTTTGCCGAATGGCATCCAAGTCAAGACCACTCGTAGGGCGCTAAGGTTTAACTCGATGGCCTTTGTGGTCTGAACCGACTTCTCGCCGTAGCAATCAACCGGCTCCCGGATCCAAG